AATATTCATGGTCAACTCTAAATTGACGACCTGCAAAGGATTTTAAAGCGTCACCTATGGACAATTTGGGGTATCGTAGTTTTTAGCCATTTCAACGTTTTTAAGCTTGGCATGTTGGGTATCTTTTTACTCAGCACAACCTCATCTTTTATATTTTACAAAAAAACGTGTGTATTATATTGTGGTTTGTGCACTAAAATGAACTCGGTTCCTTCCGCCAACTGAAACATCCTGTAGTGACATATGAGACGATGAGTCACCACAGAGTGCAGTAGGAGGAGCAGGGGCCCATCTAACTAATTCTCTTAGGGGATTAGCAGTCAGTCCAGTATCGTACAACTGAACACTGATTCATGCAGATTTAAAAGGGAAAATTCTGCTAAATGTTCTGCTTAACGTTTACCAAAGTTGCGCTTAGCAATAAAAAAAAGAATTCAAGTTAAATCAGCAACACATGTGTTCAGCTTTAAAAATGGAAATAAAATGAGAATAATCTGTGAGAAGATTAAGAGTGAAAGCTATTTGTAAGACCATAGCAGGGTAACCGCTAGGCTTTCCAAAGAAAGGAATCTAATTTTAAAAGCATCTATTTTTAATCCACAACAACTGGAACTGACTCAACATTCTTGGGGTAAATTTCTGGGCCCGGCAAACACAAAGAAATGCAGAGAAGAACAAAAGAAATTCCTTCGGACCTCTAGTTATTCGTTAGGATTCCACCTACTGGGTATGCAAAAGAGTCTGGTCACTTGTCCTGAACGCAGTGCAAGTACAATGATCTTGCAAGCCTCCAAAATACTTCCGTGTTAACAGCCCACTAACTGTAAATGACAAGCTGGTTTATGTCAAACACGGTTTAATAACATTCATGGCTAACACGGTTTAAATAGCATTTATGGGTAAACATGTTGTATCGGCTTAGCCGAACACAACATATTTAAAATGAAGCTGGTTTAGCAGATAACAGCATTTTTAATCACACAGCTCACTTCCTCTGTGTTAATCCACACAAGAAAATAATCAGTTGTCTTTGAGATATCTGCTTTTGTCTGTTGTGACACATAGCAGTAAAGCTGGTCATACACAGAGCGAATTGCGGACTTTCTTGGTGAACCATCTTAAATTTTCTCCAGGGGCGGCCCCGTCAGGAGCCTCTCGCTCGGCATCCTTCGATCAGAAAATATAAGGAGTTGAGCAGAAAAATTTCATCTGAACAGTGATTGCAGCCAATCAGCAAGTCACTGCTTGAGTATTCCAACAGTGGCCCACTCGCCACTATTAGAATTCAATAGCCTAATGAGGGGGGCGGACGGGAGGTTCCTCTATCTACGCTGTTAGCTGCTGGGCTGAATGATAAATATCAGTGTATGGCAGACAACATGGCAAACTGACATCAATGGTAAATATCTCAGTGTGGGTATGGGCACTTTAAGAATCTTATTGGGAAGTGTCACACAAGTGATTTTACAGCAGCAATTTGAAGCAGCTCCGAAATTGCTCTCCTTAACTCGTTGCTAGTGAAGCAGAATAAACGACAGATCAACAGCAGGAAGCTGGCTGGAAAATAGGTTTATTCGGCTGGTAACAAGCAGCAATTCAGGTGTGTTCAAAGAATATTGCCACATAGGTGTCATTTATAAGCATTTGGACAACAGAACAGACAAAAAAAGGCTTTTAACCTCTTGTCCGTGTGGAGATGGAAAACAGGTACATCCTCTACAGGGACTGTAGTAGTCTTGTTTAAACAAGAGATGGCAGGGTCTACTCTAGGGAGTGCCCACTTCCTAAGAAAGCCATCTTCAATAGGATATTGCTGGCCAAACTGGGGGGTAGATAATTTCCCAGTGAAAAAAATTGTGTAAAAGAGAAATTCTCTCAGAGCTGAGAGAATATATCCAACACCGAAGGACAGTAGCAAAAAACTGAGGCAGGCTGGGAGTGGGAGGGGTTATGCCGGGCTGCCCTGCAGCTTTGATTGATTTGAGTCCAATCATCTGAAGGTAGCTGCATTACCCAGTGATCTAAGGATTGAACTCTGTGTTCTTTGAGGTACAATCAAAAATTAATTTTTCTTTCCTAATTTGCTTTACTTACCATTTATTTAAAAAAAAAAAACCCCAAGGAAATGTATAAACATTGGGGTAAGACTACAAACACTGAAAGGTATATTGTGCAAAACGGAGACATCGCCGAAACAAAAAAAAGCCCTCAGACACTCCTCAAGGGGATTCAGGAAGAAAAAAAGACCAAGAAACTCAAGTGGTTAAGACAGTATTACAGCTGTCTACAAAACTGGAGAATTCTTTACCGAAAACAAAAAAAAATGCTCTTGCACTTGGCATAGGAACAAATGTCTTCCCTCTGGCATATACTCTTGCCAATACTGGATGCTTTAATAATAAAAGGTAGTTTTCAGGAGTAATGCTGATCCTGCTGTAAATCAGCTGTGTTTATGGCTCTGTAATAGACTGCCATTATAACATTTGGCTGTGTAATACAGCAGTGCTGCGTTTTCCTTCCCCGAGTGTCATACCCAATTAGCAATATACAAGGGCAACTATTCACATTGCTAACTGCTGGAGAGAGATTTCTGCTGAGTCTACAGTCACCGGTGGATGACAAAACACTGCAAGCGGGTCATGCTCAGACCAAACAATGATGAGATGGTAAATATGGCAAGCACACAAAAAAAGACTGAACTCTCAGTCTTCAGCGACGTATAAATCTCATACAATTAGTCTCAGGACACAGCTTCAGCACATAATGTTAAATAGACCTACATAACTGCTTGAAGTAAAGCATAGGTTTTACTCTGTGAGACCCCCTGCTGCCCCCCTTATGAACTCATGGGTCTTGAATTTAAACAACATATCTAGATAGATGGGTTTATGTTCCTTTCATACAAAACCTGCGAGTGCCACTTCCACTGTTACACTGGACCATTTGTATTTACTTGTCGAGTAAGCAGTACTTACAGTATTTATAGCATGTAAATATATATATTAGAGGTGCACTCAAATTACATTTTGAAACTAAAAATCTAAAAATTGTCAGGACGAAACCGGAAAATATATTTTTTTCTAACCTTTTAAATTTGTTTTGTTAATTTTTTTTTTCTAAACTTTTTTTTTTTTAATAAATATTTTTTGTTTTTAACTTTACCTTTGGGGGCTCTGGGAAATATCAGGGATCTAAACAGAAATGGAAAAAGAGATTGAGTCCTCAATCTCTTATTCTGCAACTCCTGTTATGAATGAACAGGAATCCTCTATACCGAGTGTTCCTGTTCATTCGTAACTTGTGGAGATAGTATGTTTACTATGTCATCAATCATGAATGAACTGGAAGTGATGTAGATCACTTCCTGTTCATTCATAATTGGGGACACAGTAAACATACTATGTCCCCAATTATTTACAAGCAGTCAGTGATCAGCTAATCACAGAGTGCTTTTACCCGCTCTCCATCCTGACTCGCTGTCACGGGAGGCTGAGCCGGCGGGCCTGGTCTCCTGTTACAGCTGACAGCTGTCTCTGCCCCCACACCGCTTTCCATCCTGATCCGTCACAGGAGGCCGAGTAGGACGGTGCAGGAGGAGAGCTCAGCCTGCTGTGACATCGCGGCTCACAGCGCTCTCCTATCTATACTGCTCAGCTGGCTTGCATTCTTCCCATAGTGCATCCTGGTGCCATCTCTTCCCCAGTTAAGTGACACACATGCACCGAGCCATCCACATGATGTAAAAGAAAGTGTGATTCATCAGACCAGACCACCTTCTTTCACTCCATGGTTTAGTTCTGATGCTCACATACTCATTGTAGGCGCTTGGCAGTGCACACATGGGCACTCTGACCGCTCTGCAGCTCCATATGTAACAAACTGCGGTGCACTATGTGTTCAGACTCCTTTCTATCAGAACCAGCAATAACTTCTTCAGCAATTTGAGCTATGGTAGCTCTTATATTGGATCGGACTACACCGGCCAACCTTCGCTCCCCACATGCATCAATGAGCCATGGGCTGCCCATGACCCTGTTGCCGGTTCACCGGTTTTCCTTCCTTGGACCACTTTTGGTAGGTCCTGATCACTGCAAACCAGGAACATCCCACAAGAGATGCAGTTTTGGAGTTGCTCTGACCAGTCGTCAAACCTTCAGAATTTGGTGAAGGCTGCTGGTCAGATCTCCCTCTGACCGGCAGTGGCGAAGGAGCATGGAGCCAAATTTCTTTTCATTCAGGAAGCCAGGCAATGGGTTATGACACGCCTCTCGGCTTCCCATTTGGCTAGGGAGCCGGCTTCACTTGTTTCTAGGCAGCCTGGCTTCCTAACCAATCGGCACGTAATGACCCGCCTGATTGGTCAGGAAGCCAGGCTGCCTAGGAACAAGTGAGGCCAACTTCCTAGCCAATCAGGAAGCCGGGTGGCATGTCATGACTCACCTTCCGTCTTTCTGATTGGTCAGGAAGGCAGGCAGCATCGGAAAGTGAAGCTGGTGTTCTTTCAATAGAACACTGGCTTCCAAGGCAATCAGGAAGATGGGCGACAGGTCATGATCCGCCGCCTGACTTCCTGATAATCGGGGCACACGGTACTGGTATTGAAACTTGGTATCAGCGAGTGCCGAAAAAAATATATATTGGTACTTGTATTTGATACCGAAAAACCAGTACTGGTGCATCAATAGTGCTTATATTATCTTGCGTCATATACTCGGAAGGAATTCTTGATCTGCATACTTGTTCCAGATCAGTGAGACTAAATCCATAGGGAAAGCATAATAGCCAAGCAAATAACATTTTTAAACAGAGATTAGCAATGAAAGCCCTTGTATTCCCATGTATACTCATGATGGGCTTCCATTTATGGTCTCCTATAATCATTTATTGATCACACCATAAATGTTAACAAATTAATTTGATTTGTACAAAAGCAGAAAAGAAAAAAAAAAACACTGCAGCATTTTACATCCAGGGAAGATGAAGATATAAGATCCGTGTACCGTTTTGAAGCGTCTGGGCACGAGATTCCTTTCCCAAATTTGTATGAAATCCAGTACCAAGCGATGGGGTTTTACCAGTACCTGAAAGAACAAAGGAAAACAGTTTCAGCGGGCTTCTTTTATCATCTAATAGAACACATAAATCCTGTCAATACAGAGGACATAAACTGACAAAGGAATGTGTTCTTCCTACAGTCCGAATGCAGAAATCTCTGTAATTTCCAATTCAAATAAAAAGGTATTCAAGGAGACAAGGACCTAAAAGCAGGAAGTTACAGGTCTCCAGAAGTTACCATGAGCAAATCTCTGTAATTTCCAATTCAAATAAAAAGATATTCAAGGAGACAAGGACCTAAAAGCAGGAAGTTACAGGTCTCCAGAAGGTACCATGAGCTTTAAAACATGAGGCTTTCCACATGTAATGTCGCTTTCGTTTCCGCCATCACCCACACTGTTTGGAGGCAATGTACTGGAACTCGCCAACGGAGAAGCATACATTACAGCTGGTGATTACAGATACATTTTGAACTCCCACCGGGTTACACCGATGATGACGAAGGGTTCATGTACACTAGCTGTGCAGTAAAACACAGCGTTTTACCATGCAGCTAGTGTCCGCTAAGTGGCAACTGTGTGACATGGTGCCTTGTGTCGTTACAACAAATGGCACAAGGCTGCGGTGACCACCAGTGCCATTCAGTGTGTTGCATAAAGATGCAGCATGTCTACATTTTTCGGCCCCGCATGACGCATCACACCAGCACTGGGGAGTAAACAGGGTGCATGGAACACAAAGGTTTTCTATGTGTGCTAGCAGTAACCAGTGTTGATCCGGTGTGGAAAAATGCCGGTCACTTCTGTTTGTGTGAATGGTCCTTAAAAGTACCTGCATGCTGTTTCCAATACATTGTCCAATGACACCGTGTCTGAAATACAGAGGAGGGTGTGACTTCACATACACGCAGAATATTGTCTTAAATAATAAATCCCGTTGTATTGGTCCACCTATGAGTTAGCCAGAATAGTCCCATAGTTACATTAAAGTGAATCTTGCACTCCATGCAGAAAAAAGGTAAATTATTATACTTGCCTTCCCTTGGCTCTCATACTGCCGAGAGGGACATCAATTATTTTAGCCAGGTCCAAGAGAATGCCAAAAACCCACAATTGCGGGAAAGGACGCTATGGCACAGTGCAGTAGCATCTTCTCTCAAGATTTGGGCTACAGTATTACTTGGGATCTCACTGGAAGAGGACATTACCCTTGTCTAGGTAGAAGCTGGGGGAAAAGGTAAGTATATTGTCTTTTATTCCCCACAGGTTTTTTTTTTTTACATTTCTGTGCAGGGAACATTTAGGTGCATGGTCTGTTTTAAAGGCAAGACCCATAAAATGAGCTAGAAGTAGTCCCAGCCACATCCTGACCTCACAGGAAGTGGACGGAGCTTCAGGCTAAAAAGAGTAGTGATGAGCCTGGGCTTGGTGCAAATCCAGTTCAACTCAAAACTGTAACCTACACACCCCCAATTAGCTGTGGCAGACGCATTATCCATCCTGAAGCTACCCGTCATAAAAGGGCAGGGAGTGCCCCCATCGCAACTGCCACCACTAATTGGGTTAGGACTGTGGTGGTCATACTTTTGAGTGGGCTTGGGCGACCTTAGGCGAACTGGGTCTGCACCAAGCCTACTAAAATGAAGTCTGAGGAAACTGAAACCTGCTGGCCACGATATGCAGATATGACTGCAACAACTGACAGCCTGCCGATCCATTGATGCTCTGAGATGGGTATAGGATGTGATGGGTGAGTGTACTGAGTGTATTGTGGAGTGTCCTCCAAATTCCATCCAGTTTCATCAATGAGAACACTTTTCTAGTAAATATTATAAGGAATTACATTACAGTTAGTTATGGCTATAATGTTTTGGCTGGAGTTACAGGCTAGGCTAGATGCTGGCAGGATGAAACACTAACCAGCTACTTTCAATTTCGTATAGAACTCGGAGCCCATACAGACTAGGCAGCTGGATGAAGGTTTTCTTCTATTAAAAGGTACCCCTGTATATTTACATATTGGCAGTACACCAGCTCTCCTTTGCAGCTCTGCAGTTTGAGCACAAGTACACTTATCCCTTAATGAAAAGATAAAAGGCTTGCAGTCCTCAAATAAAAACACCCAAACTACTTTGTGCGGGAGGTTTATTTATTTAACTTGCTTAATCAACTGTGGGGATTGGCAGATTCTCATAAAGATTGTGCTTTTAAGCCTGTTGATCATGCTGTTAAGTAGCCGACAAAGCAAAGCAACTTCTTGGAATAGGAGATCTAAAAGAAACATTGCCATCTAGAGCGCAAGAAGCTAAATGCAAGAACTAGGGAGAGGTGTGCTCCAACATGGGGCGCCGCGCAATACCGACAAATGTACCAATTACTGCAATACAGCATTACAGGGTACCTAAATTGTATGTATTTCTCACTATGCTGCGAGAGTTGCATGATAATCAGCTTTGCAAATATTATTTATTTACTCTATTCCATAATGCATGGACATGATCTTGAAGCTACCACTGGGAGCATTTACGTTTTGCTTGATGCCATGTGGGAGCTGCAGAAATGTTGTGCCTTAAGAACATTCCATAGTTTGCTCTAGATACCTTCAAAACCACCACAGGACATTATGAAAAAAAATGTTTATTGGATCCTGTTCAATCAGACAGGAATGGTCTGCCACACTTGCGGTGAGATAGGATCAGGATCAGCGTTGCGCATATACAATGATAAAATACGGGTGGCTTGATGAGCAGATGTCATTGCAAACTAGACATATGATTCTCATCAGCCAGATTTGCATAGGCCTCTAAGATAAGAAACCTTTTAAAAAGCTTAAACTCCAGCTAAATAATGTTTAGTTTGAGTGAGGAAGCGTTTACATTTCTATATGTGCCTTCATAGGGAAGATATTATCTTGGTATTAGAACACAAAGCCAAAAAGGTCTAGACCAGGGGAAGGCAACCTTAGCTCTCCAGCTGTGCTGAAACTACAAATCCCATGAGGCATTGCAAGCCACAGGCATGACTCCCAAGGTTGCCTAGCCCTGGTTTAGTGCAAAAAAAGTTCAGAAATCCTAGAGTAAGGTCTCGTTCACACCTAGGCGTATTGCATATGCGCGACCGTCGCGTGTCTTTTTACAGCGATTCGCGGTAAAAAGGTCGCGCGACCGTCGCGCGTTTTCGAAGGCTACTTGGCTGTATCCCAATGAAAACACGCAACAAAACGGCCCAAAGTAGTACATGTACCTTTTCAGGCGTGGGCTGTTTTGTAGCGCGTTAGGGACGGGCGGAAATACGCCAAGGTGGGAACGAGACCATTGAATACAATGGGATTTATATTTGAGCGTTTTGTAGAGCGTTCGTCGAGCGTAGAACGCGCTACAAAACCTTCAGGTGTGAACGGGGGCTTAGAATTTAGAAAACACCAAAAGGTCCACTTAAGCAGCTGCTGAACCGGCAACCAGAGCAAAACATTTCAAATTTGTTTATCTCTTTTCCAGGTCATCATGAGCAAAAAACAGATGAAGGGGGCCTCTTGGAACACACGAAACCCGTTGGCTGTTTTTTTAAAAACGAGTATTGTGGCAAATAAACTTTATCTGGACAGTCAACATTATATCTTGTTGCTCTATCTTCAACAAACCTTGAGCAATAAAACCTGACAGAGGCTCTAATCCTGTTCCCAATGTATCCCAAACAAAATAAAAGGTTTTGGCAGCAACGGCGCTTTCAACCCAAGGTTTAAAGCAGGGGTAGCCAAACTCAGGCCCTCCAGCTGTGGGGAAACTACAAATCCTCTTTTATATTTCATTAAAAAAATGGGTAATTTGTTGTGTTTTGGGGCATTTAATTAAATTTGTCACTAAATTTTGGGGTTTAATAAGGAGTTGCGCTAATATTGCGCAACATAAAAATTTTCAACTACCACCATTTTATTCTATAGGGTCTTGGCATTCAGAAAATATATAATGTTGGGGGGTTTTACGTCATTTTCAGGCCTAAAATGTGGAATATAACATGGGTGCAAAAAATGGAAAAAGGGCCTCAGTCATGAAGGGGTTAAAGGAAAACACGCTGTGTAGATGAAGAGGGCTAAATGAATGTAGCGTGTTCAAAGCAACACTCCCCTGGCTAAAGAAAAAGTAATTTCAGATTCAGACCCAGCTGCAAAACCTTGGGGACAGTGAATAGGGGGCGACATCACATTAACCCCTTCATGACTGAGGCCCTTTTTTCATTTTTTGCACCCATGTTATATTCCACATTTTAGGCCTGAAAATGACGTAAAACCCCCCAACATTATATATTTTCTGAATGCCAAGACCC